AAATAAATATAGGAATAATTATTTAATTAAGTTATTTATTGTTGATTTTATTTCTTGATTGGGTTCCATTAAAAAACAAAATGCACTTTTCCCCTCGACTTCAAAGGCTGCTCAAAGTGTAGCAGTAATCAGATCATCAGACAAAAAACAGGAAGGACTGACTCAGTGTGAGACTCGCAGTCTTTGAAAACTTTAGATGTAATGCAATATGTGGTGTGTGTGTGTGTGTAAAGTATGTTTCAAGAAACATTTGGTCTTCTGAATAGAAAATAAACGCTAAACCCCAGATTGTCAGATTGTCGTCCCCCTCAGATTGCACCAAGAGGCTTTTTTATGTGGCGCTTTGTGTCTCGAGTGCTCAGCTGATCTTGATTAAAAGCAAAACTGGGTGAGCGAATAAGTCAGAAAAGGAGCTTAAAATGCTAAAAAGGCACATTGGATTTTGTCTGATTTGTGTCCTTCTGCTTTTTGAACCAAAGCCACGACTCTAATCTTTGAATCTTTCTGTGAATCGTAGAGTCTGAAAGACAAAATCACAGTTATGTAAAAGTAGGGATAAATAACATGACATGTGACCTTTTATCGTCTTCCTTCTACCTCCAGACCAGCGAGTGGAGCAGGGGAACATCGCAGAGCTGAGCCCCGGAGCGGTGGGAGCTGGAGGGGCGGGAGCTGGAGGAGGAGGTGGAGGAGGAGGAGGAGCCAGGGCCGAGCATCAGGCAGCAATCAACAGCATGATGATGGAGAGAATGAGCACCGACATCTACGCCCTGAAGAAGCAATACACGCGTATCAAAAGGCGGCAGCAGCAACAGGCTATGCAACTCTACATACGCACAGGTATAGTGATTCATCCCATAATGCTCCACTGCTTCTATTGTTCAAACTATTACAGTTTCTGTTCAGTGTTTTCAGGTGGATGCAGCAAGACTTGTTCATGTACATTTTAATAATCTTTCATAGGTATAACTACATTTCTGTTGTTCTTTTTCAACCATAAAAACAGAATTAATACACATTCAAATCACCGTATTGAAACCATACGTAGATGAGTTTGCAGTTCTGCTGCATGACAGCAGTGTGCTTCATGAAGGAGGGGGAGTTGCCAATGAAAAGAAAAGACAATGATGAGACATAGTTTGAAACCACTACTTTAGTATATAGTGACCCAGCTTCAGCCAGGGTTCCCAGGCATCCTGGAAAACCTGAAATGTAGTAATTGATTAAAATGATCAAATATCCTGTAAAATGATTGTATTTTAACATATTTTTGCTGTGGCCAAATGAATGTCACGGTTAAAAGAAAGCTGTTAGTCAACAGACCTTTTTCACAACAGCCCTTTTGACATGAAATAGTAGGGTAAACACAGGCGTTACCAATGACATAAACAATGACCAGCACTTTGAGCGAGCGCTGTCCTGTATCCTGTGTAAAAAAGGATTTCTTTAATAGAGTGGGAACCCGGTACAGCACTTAATTGTCCACAAACACATACACAATTCTTATTTCAGAACAAAATCTTTAGAGATATTGTCTTTCAGAGACCGTTCAGATACACGTTGTTGTAACCGCATTTTAGCAGGTTGAAAAGAGACGTTCAGACCAAATATCAGCCAGTTTTCAACTTCAACAATATAAAACACACTGTTTAAAGTTACAGACACAGCGGCTGCAGAAACACACTGTTTGCTGACAGTATAATGGCGGTAAGGTGAGTTTCCATCTGGGTAGAAACGCACACACACACGCAGCAGTTCAATGTTTGACAAAGATGTGTGACTCGTAGGACCTGGACCTGAAGTGCCAACACGTCCAGGGATTCCTCAGGAGCGTCTGGAGAACCACAGCGACGGTACTGACGACCACGCTGACGGTACTGGTGCTGAACCCAAAGGGTCATCTGGGTGTTCTGGGGCTGATTTCAGGGTCTTTAATGATTCATCCTGGTTTGAATTGAAGTCACTGAATGATTTAAGGAGGATAGAAGAGAACTCATAAAATCTGTTTATAATCATAATCCTGGCTTCCCAAGGCAGATTTCCAGTTGATCCAGTTTTTCATTGGGTTTATGATAAATTAAGAACCTTACAAGGTTTTTTAACCACACACAGTTCATATAAATGATGTACAGCTAAATAATTCTCTCAGATTTAGTGTTTTTTGGGTTAGAAAACAATAAACTCTGTTTATTTTGTGATAAATTGAAGAGAAACCCTCTGGAGAAACATTGGAAATCTGACGAGGGAGCTGCTGCCTCACAAACACGGAATCTTTTCCAGGTTTTAATCAAGAAGCATTATGTTTGGAAGAGGGACGGCTGTGGTTGGGTATCTGGTGGTGGTTGTTCTAGATGCAGGGAGAGGTTTGGAATCAGACTCGAGTCTCAAATTTGACAACTTTAAATTCGACAAAGTGAAAAAATATTTGCAACTCGACTTGAAAATACATGACAGCTTCCCTTTCTTAAAAAGTATGTTATTTAAAAGGTATCCCACAAAATCTATTAATCTTCTTTTGCTGAATCAACTAATATTATTTAATTCCCATCACGTCGATACTTAATTCCTCAGATCCACTTTGTTTGAACCAGTCCGACAGCATCCAGTCAGAGAACCATGAGAACTGACGCTATGATGATACCAAAGTTCATTTTAATCGTAATAGTAATAATCATTTTATTTATATAGCACCTTTTGAAAACAGTTTACAAGAGTTTACAATGTGCTTTGACAGACAAAGTAAAACGATGGCTGTGATACACGAAATCTAATTAAACATAAAAATACAGAATACAAAATACAATAATACGAGCAGAATGCAACAACCAGAATAAAGATCTAAGACTACAAGCTGGCTCATAAGGGGTCAGCATTTCTGCTCTTTAGCTTGGGGCCGGACCCCGACGTGCTTAGATCAGTGAAATCTTAAAATTGATGCTGAAGCTAACAGGGTTGGGGTGATGTGATGCCGTTTCAACCGTTGTAAAGCACAGCGTGTTGTTGCGTGTTCCCTCTCCGACTCGCATTTTGATCACAAATCAGCTTCTGAGTTAGATGCAGCATCGTACAGCAAAAGAGAATAATAATGTTTCTGGAAATATCCTGGTAGAACCCTGACAGAGAGCATCTGTCATATATTACTGTGGTTAAACTGGCATTACCTTTAGTGAAGAGCACACTGTGACTCAAAGTTTAGGACTTGAGTTCAAAGGCTTGAGACTTGTGACTTGAACACAATGACTTGCTCCCTCCTCTGGTTGCAGCTGGTATTTGCACAATTTAAGTCAACAAACCAGCTGTATTCTTTATTTGGAGACACCTGTCCATCAGATGCAGACAGTAAATCAACCCTTTAATAAACCATCAGTTAAAATAACTGAATATTACAGTTAACGTACAGTTTTTATCATGTTCCAATTAACAAACTGAGGACGTCCTCAGCAGTGACAGGTGTCTCCACTTGACCTGGTTTTTATGAATAATTCATGTCTTTGG